TTTAGTTAAAAACTACACAATAGCAATTAAGTTAAAAGTTACGCAGTTATTAATCGTATAGGCCTATAAATTATTTATAAAACTAGGNAAAAAATAGGTTATGCCCTGAAAATGATGAAATTTTCATGTTTTTGCATTACAATTTAAGGGTTTTACAGTTTAAATATTAAATTTTTATTTGTTTTATATGTTTAAACTTTATATTATACGTTATATTATACAGTACATATAATATGTATCGATAAAAGAAATAATTTAATTAGTAAATTTTTTTAATATTCAGTTTGTCATGTAATAAATAATAAATATGTAACAGAAATTTATTAGTGTTTATTACTAGCATTGTACGTAACATTCTAACAAAAATACCAAAATGTAAAATTGGCCGATTATTGAAACCGATTAATCGGAGAAATGGCCGATACCGATTAATCTGCTAAGTGTCCGATACGGCCTATTACCGATTACTTACCGATTAATCGGTGCACCCTTATTCATTACCAATCACGAAGACTTTCTTTAGTTAAAAACTACACAATAGCAATTAAGTTAAAAGTTACGCAGTTATTAATCGTATAAGCCTACAAATTATTTACATAACTATAAACATTATAAAAAGTACACGACAGAAACTTAAAGAATTCGCATTTCTAAATTTAACCAGAACAAACATATTATCCAGAACAATCCCACGATTCTTTTGGACGCTTCTGTACTACCAATAGACGAAAAACTGACACCTTTGATGGTGTGGCTAATACCACTGAAATTGGTAAATTCTGCCTCATCAACAGGCAACACACGTGCATTCGTTTGAGCTTTCTTCTGTATCTAACAGCAATGTTTTTCTGCCTGGATGCACAACAGTATAAGAACATCCAGTTGTTGCATTTTCTTATTACATCAATCTAATTTAATATAATTTTCGAATAAAATAAATATGATTGTAACTAAAATATTTATCGTTCATGTATAAAATCTGTTTTCACAGGAAACTTTTGAAGTACTTGCAAAATTACAGGCAGATGTCGAAAAATCCAAAGGTTTAAGATCAGAAAATAAAACTCAAGAAAAATGCTTCAAGGATTCAATCAAGAATAAAAATGAAATAAAAAGTGAGGGTCGACAAAATAAACAGAATAATGCTGCAGAAGAAATGCAAGAACTTGCAGAAAGTCTTCAGGAATTCTTTTCTTCAATTGCTGATAAAAACCCTGAGATCGGTAAATCTTCCGAGTAATTAGAAATATATAAATGCCGCTTCTGCCAAAAAAATTCACTAATCGAAAAACATTTGATAAGAAATTACTTTCTTTGCAGAAATATACATATAAATTTTGGAAAAACAATTTGTAAATTCAAAACTATACATGATTTTCAATAGCATTTAATTCAATAAAATCGTTTATATTTTTATGTAAATCGCTTTTTTTTATAATTTTCTACATATCAATAGTACATAAGAGTATCAATTTTGAGTAGCAAACAACTAAGGAATATTTTTAAAAAATACTCTAAAACTGAAAAAGAAAAGTACTACAGTAAATGAAGTACTTCATATTAAACAGTAATATAATTTTACTTCTAGAATATTATTATTAGGTTTTTTTCACTAGATAATACAGTTTCTCTAAAACAAACTATAGACAAGAGCATCTTTTATTTAATTGTTATTTTATAAGCGTAAATTCAAACAGAAGTTTACTACTTGTATGTTCTTTTTATATATATAATAACAACTGTATACCTACTTTTGCAACCCCTCCTGTATATTAATAAAATGTCAAATTAATTACACCAAATGCTCTCATTCAGAAAAAATATTACACAAGAAAAATTAGGTGTTAAAATGGAATGAACATTAATAGTGTGAATGAAAAGACCGTGATAATAAGTAATTAGAATATCAGAGCAAACAAAGGATATTTTCTAAACAAGCAGTTCGTTATGAAGGAACTTTCAGTATCTTCTTAGATCCACGTTTAATATATAACGTTTAATATTAAATAAAGTGATGCTTTAAATTTAATTCATTCCGGAAGACTTTCGGAATTCCAATCAATTTTTTCACATAAGAAATAATGAAAAGTAAATTAAACTTTTTTCGATCCTGAACAATATTAATTTCGAACCAATAAAGCAGCAAATTCGCATAATTTAAGGTATAATAACAGATATAAATACCTTAATACTAAATTTAATGGTTAGACTGTCTGGTGAATTTAGAGGCAGATAATGAGTAATTTGGAGTTTCAGATCGTAACGAATCGATCATGTTTAAAATTGATTATATGTCTATTAATAATAGCAGGAATAGAGCCTAATCCAGGTCCCTTGCCGAGATCCCCTCCGGAAATAGACTACGAAGATATGCAAAAACGGGACGCGGTAGACCGCGGAAAGTTAATACTCGTAATATAGAAAGAGGTGAACTGTTAGAATTTATACAAGATGAACAAGACTATCGGGAGATTCTTCCTCGAAAGGAAAATTCGGTGTGATAAGAGATTCTAATATTCAGGATTATTTTTCATCATCATCAGTTGTGGAAGAACATATTACTGAAGAGACGCCGTATACTATCAAAGCAGTTTATCATTTGATTCAGGAACAGTTTACAATACTGAACCCAGACTTACAGTTAATAAAGGAGGAACTGGACACATTGAAGAAAGAACACGTTGGTTTGAAGGAGGAATTAAATAGTGTATATCGCAGAGTAGAGAAGATGGATAGAGATGTCGGTAAAGGCTCGGCTTTGAAAGGTATGTTGGAATTTCAAATAGACAAGTTAATAAACGAAAAAATGAGAAATAATATTATAATTTTTAATTATCCGCTTGAGACAGAGGATCTCTCGAAAGAAATCTCCCATTTTATTGGGATTGATCTAGGACTAGAGAATTGTGAACTGGTTAGTTTAGTTAAAATATCTAAAAATGGCAATAAATCAATAGTTAAAATTACTCTTAACTCTGTCTATGATAGGAATTCTATTCTGCGAGAATTCTGGAAAGCTAAGCCGAAATTATCATTAAAGTATAAGGAAAAGATCTATGTAAACGATCTAGGACTAGAAGGCAAAAGCTAATGGCTAAAGTAGTCCATGAAAAATCAAAAGGATTTAGGGTCATTGTAAGAGATGATTATTATATAAAAGAAGGGTTAGTGTATACATATGATTTAGAATTGGAAAAAGTAATCCAAGTTGATTGTTTTTTATAGAAGGGCACCATGCAGATAAGTATAATTATTCCAAAGTGATGGAAAATAACAAGGAAAAAGAGGGTGATACTAAAATAAATGATTTTGTAGCCTTTTATAAGGATAAGCATGATTTGGTAGCCAATTCTTCTTGTGAACGTGGATCGAAGAATATATTTAAAAACGTGTATATGAGTTTCTGGAATATTCAAGGTCTGGTTAAAAAAAATGTATGATCATTCTATAAAGCAATATTTGCTGTTTCATGATATTATAGGAATTACTGAAACATGGATGACCAATATAAATAAATTAGAGAATTTGAATCTAGAGGACGAATGTTGGATGTTATATAGTGCTGCACATAAGACACAGAAGTTTGGTAGACCGGCAGGTGGATTATTATTATTAATTAAGAGATCGTTTGGACATGTAGTTCAAACTCGGATGGAGCCTTGGGTCATTTTTGTCTGGATAGAACTAAACTCTGAACTTCTAAAACACGGAGAGCTTCAACTTTGGGAGTTATATTAACATATATTAACCCAACTTCAAACGTTAGTAAATACTTTGAAGAAGTTCAGAAGATGATTAACCAGTGGAATAATTTTATAGACTTATGGATAATGGGAGGAGACTTTAATGGCCGCATCGGAGAAAAAATAGATGTAATCTATGAAGGTGATAGATTAAATATTGCTAATACAAGAAGTTCTAAGGATAAGATGAGTAATATTACGGGAGAATTACTATTGAGGTTTGTGCAGGAAAATAGCTGAATTATACTAAATGGTAGAATGGCAGGAGACGTTCCTGCCGAATTTACATTTGTGAGTCATATAGGCAAATCAGTCATTGACTATGTGACATGTAATGAAGACATCATACATTACTGTAACAAAATGAAGGTGATTGATAAGGATCAATCTGACCATTTTCCAACTCAATTATATCTATTAGGTTATAGTCTTAATACATTCACTTCAAGTTCGGTTTCGCAAAAACAATTTAGATTTGACAAAAGGAAAACTAAAAAATTTAACATACGGTGTATATTAGAAGATATACCGGGTAAGGTCAATGAGATGTTATGTCAAGAAATAGATTGAAATCCGTTAGATAGTTATTTTCTAAATGAGCGATATCTTATTTTATTTAATTTGGATTTTTTAATAAAAAGTTTTATATATATATTTTTTTAAATTATGCTTTGCTGTCAACTAATACTTATACAAAAGGTGGAATTTCAGAAACAATTTCCTTGATTACTCATGTAAAAAGATAGCTCCGTAAATTGTTTTGTTATCAGTTGGAAAATTAGATATTGTGTAGTATTTCTCTGTACCTTTTCCTGGCCTCCCCTGTTTACAGATTCTCCTGTCTAAACTTAGTCACAAGTATTTTTGTTTCGAGTAGATATTAACTTACTGCAAATAAAAGCAGGCGGATTTATATTCGGAGGAAGAAGTAAATTGCTTGGTTTTGATCGTAAGTTTTCAGAAAAGATTGGAAAGACAAACGTATCTTCTAGTAGTTATAGCTAATATTAAAAGACATTTTAAACTTGTAGAGTATGTTATAGATACGATATCGGTTTCATACGTGACATATATAATATGAAAATTGTAACTTTTACTATTTATATAATTCTGTGATTTAAAGGCTTTGTAGTTTTATTTTGTGTTATTGCTAAAATCAATTATTTAGCGTAATATCGTTTTATAAATTATTTATAAAGAATTTAAAATACTGAATATAATATATTAAAAATTGCTGATTTATAATACTGAATACAGTATTACGAAACAACAATGGATATTAAGTGTTCAATATTTGAGGAAGAGAAAGAAGAATTTCCATGGGATGAAAATGTCTTAAAGGAATTTAAAACATCTATCAGTAAGTACAACTATTTGATTTTATTAAAAATATTTTTTTTTATTTTCGTAATGTATTATTAGAATATGCCAATTTGTTAGATGAAAAGTTTAGTAACGTTTTGAAAATTTACTGCATGAAGATTAATGTTTTTGTTAATATTTTAGAAATATTTACAAAAAGAATAGTTTATTATTGTCTAGTAACTGCACAATGTATAATTGTATAAATAGAAATCTGTTTCCGAAAGTCCTGATGATGCTAATACCGATACCAGTATGAATATTTTTCTTTATATATCGATAATGGTATTATTAAATTTTCCATAATTTGATTTTGCAGCGGAATCAGAAACCGAAATGGAATTTTACACAGTTATACTATTATTAAAAAATCGACCAACGAGTTGCTTAACTTTCTTGACAACATTTGGTTTGCGCCATCTGTTATTAAAACTCACTTTATTATTTTTTACTCTTATAAAATGGAAAAAAAGCTTAATTTTGATTGTAAAATTAGAGTTTATAAAAAAAACTTATAAATGCTGTTAACAATATTTAAAATTTATAACATTGTCATAAAGTCTGGCACTACTGGAGATACACACGACTCCGTTTATCTCCCATTTCTCGACCTATAATCTACAAAATTTAATTGAATTAATTTCCCTAACACATAAACCTACATTGAAAATACCGATACCGATGTGAAATGTTTTAAAATGTTTTAAAACATTTGTAAGTTCTTTTCGTTTAAAAATTGCTGTGAAATTAAATATAGCATTTCACAAGTCAGGATGTAAAACATTAATAATAACGTCATTAGAATAAATTTATTTTTGATCATTTCCGGTCCTTAACTAATTTTATTTTATAAAAACCTTTGAATAAATAACTAACATTTCCTTTCTTTATATTAGAGGACCAAGAGATTCATTGTCTTATGGACGACGTTTTCCTTCATGGATTTCTACGTGTAGAAAGTTTGATATAGAAAGTTCCCTTTAGTTACTTAAGAATAATTATGACTTTAGAGTCAGCAATCTTCAATTCTTTAAGAATTTTCTACCTTCCAAATTGGAGCATGTTCTGAACATGAATACATTGCAATTTTTGCCAAAGCTTGATCAAGACGGAAGCTATATTTACGTATCTAGATTATGTAAGTTTGAGTTTTATATTCATATATAAATATAACAATAATTTTTAAAGGAAAGTTAGTAAGGTTTTGATTGGCTGAAGGCGCCAGTGTCAGTAACAGAATTGAGTTTAAAATCTAGATGGGCTTTACAAAAATTTGTCGATTCCGTTTTACACCACCTTTTATAATAATGCGCTTAAATCCTTTTCATTTTAGGTAATTGGGACACATCTGTTGCAAGTGCAACTGATTTATTGCGGTGTATGATGCTTTGTATGGACCTTCAGTTAACTTTACATAGAACTCAAGAAAAGAAAATTGTTTGTATTATAGACGCCGGGGGGGTTATCTCTGTCGCATTTTTATTATTTCTCACCAAAAGTCATCTGTTGGTTAGTGATGCTGATTGCTGTGAGTAGTTTTTATGATATAACGTAACTTAAACACGTTGATATCAAGTAGTAAATCTTATCGTACATGTATGATAAAACATAACTGCATGAATATTGTTCTATATAGTATTTATTTAGCGTTACCGTTGATATAATTAGAGTTGTAACAAACTCTCGTCATAAAACTTATTACATTTAAGTCATAGTACTCTATAATGTAAAAGTAATAAAGATGCACTGATAATATATGTTTATAATTATTACTATTCAAGGTGTGGAAGGGTCTTTAGATTCACCCCGTATAACAAGATATAAAACACATATATAATAATTATGATATAGAAAATTTACAAAAAGTTTTTACATTTATTTTTGAAGAACACAGACATTTTTAAGTCGGAATTTTAAATTATAAATATAATAACACTTATGTGTGATCTAATTTAATTTTAACACTCATTATTTTTGAATCTACAATTTGCGATACGACTTTTATAAATTAAATATAATCCTCAAATAAAATGTATTTACGATTTAAACACAGACAGGAGTATACTTTAGATTATGTATATGAATGAAACTGTTTTTACGACAATATTTATTAAAACTTTTGATAGTTTAATTATCTCTTTATATACAGCTTTCACATACTAATATATTTATATACTGTATATATTTGTTTAAACAGAAAGATTCTTATACTATTGGATACAAGACAGTACATTACGTAAATTTGAATATCATAATGAAAGCTATTTTAAGTGTTTTAGTCCTACTTTTGTCTGATGAACTGAAGAAAAAGGTAAGTGATAATAATTACAATATTTTTATAAATGCGTATGCATAGTGCATTTCATGATTTTTAAATTTCTACTTTGATATTTTTCTTTGTCATATTTTGTTGTTAGATATGCTGTATGTCTCAACATTATAATCGAATAAACTTTTTTCTTCTTTTGATAAATTTTAATTAGTTTTCAATGTAAATTTGAAATTTTAAGTGGTTTTTTTTACTTTTTTATACTCTCTATATTGAGAATTTAAATTTAAATTACAGCTACATTTTCATTCTGATCTGAAGACTTTGCACGAATTCATCAACCCTGATTGTCTTCCTTTGGAATATGGAGGAACTTTGCCAGGTTTCGATCCGACTAAATTTAATAATATGATTAGAGCTAATGAAGAATTCTTCCAAAGAAGCGAATAATACCTGAAAATGTATGACGAAGAAGAAAGAGAAGTTCTATAGAAGACAGATTTACAAACGTTATCGAAGATCCAGAAGAAGAAAAAATGAAAAAATTTATAGAGAAATTAGAAGAAAAATTTAATCGTCATTCTAATAATCCAGAAGCTTACTTGGAATCTTTGAAACAAGACTTGGAATTCGAAATTACTCTGTTTTAAAATAATTAAATTACCTTTGTATTTACTATTGAAATATATAAACAGATGTACATTGTAGTTAAGCCACAACTGTACAGTTTACATTGAAAACAAATTATAGAGTATGGTTTTCATTTAGATGTGTAACTAATGATTCCCTCTGTTCCCCAATTTTTTTCACCTTTCACCTGTAATTACTATACAGCAATTCCAAAGTTTTTAACTCTATTCTATGGGTACAATTGTCTCGTTTCCCTGTCTGTGGACTCTTATAACCAGTGGTACTTTCGGCTTTTGAAATATTCAAACATTAGAATTAAAAAAATTTAAATACATTACGCATTATCGTTATTTTACAAACACCATAAATTAATTAATTTGATAATTCGTAAAATTAGCACGTTCAGTACAGTAGACTCCCCCTATAACACTGTTGATTATTCCGTTTTATATGAATTCCATGATGTACGAGTCACTTATATTTTACAAATACATGTGCCGGGCTGTGAATGGCTCACGTATTTGTAAAATCTAAGTGACTCGTACAACATAGAATTCATATAAAACGGAATAATCAACAGTGTTATAGGGGGTCTACTGTATTTTTACCGATATTTAAATTGTCGTTAAATTTACCAAGTTAACTTATATGCTGAATATTTTTTACAAATTCTTTGCCTTCATATAAAATTTTTGTGTTGTTTTCAAAAAAAACTTTAACATGTTTTCACTTAATTTTGTGATAAGACAGATAAAAGGAGAAGTTAATTTGCAATTCAGCAATTTTTGCTGTAAACACATAAATCATCTCACACGTCTTATTTATGTCAGATGTCACTGGCCGATTATATATTTTACTCCACAAATAGGTGAATTCCAATAGATCTACATAAAAGATAATGTCAATGTGATATGCTGATTACATTCTACTTTATAAATCAGGACATCGGAGCCAAATATTTTGAATTTAGGAGGGAGAATGTTTACATATTCGACATTGATATTATTGAATTGTGTATATAATATTTCAGGGTGATAAACCAGATAAAATTCATATTTTAAGTAGAGTGACATGTAATAAAATTTTACTCGATTTTGACATTTAAAAATTTAAACAGTTATTATTAACTCAAAAATAAAGCTTCTGCCATTTATAGTAATTAATACTTAATATAATATATAAAATTTTTAAACAGATGGCGCCAAACATAAGTTTAACGTTGAGAAAAAGTCAATATTTTTCTTTTACAATTAAACTTTATATTATTATATAGAGATTCTTTCGGAACACATCCCGTTTCATTGGGATGGATGTTAATTAACCGTCGGAAGTTAATATATAAGCAAATAATTGAACTTCCTCGAACTATCGTCAAGATCTCTTGACAACAGTTAGGATAAAATTATTTAGACTTTTCTAAATGGAAAAAATATATTAATATTATTTTGTTTCCTCGGAGGAGAAGGAGTGAGAGAGCCGGAGGAAAAGAGTGAGAGCAGGAAAGAAACGAAGTACCAGTGCGAGAGCACTGGAGAAGAAGAGCACAATGTGAGAGAGCAATGTTTGTAGGTGATCTATCACCTTTTATACCGAAATTTCCTTCAATCAAATTATTTAAAATAAGCCCTCTGAGCTTTTTAGTCGCGAGTGTAGTCGGGAGATATTGCGGATAGAGTGTGAGACATTCAGCATTAACTCTCTTTTTTGGAGAAACTGAGTTGTATTCAAAGAAACATCTCGGTCCGCATATGCAGCAAGCACTTCTCTATTTCAGCCTACCTACAAACTTGACGTCCCATGTGATCCCAGACATATTTGATCGGTGACAAATCAAGGGACCTCCCAGTCTAGGAAAGTGTGGCAATGTGGCGGAGGCATTCCGGTGACACCTTTGCCGTATGAAGTCGAGTATTGTCCTGTTGGAAAATGGCTTTTGGGTACCCTGTCATGAGAGGTAACATATGTAACTGCATGATGTCGCTAACATACTGTTGGGCTGTCATGGTCCTTTGATCACTACTACAGGTCAACGACTGTAGTGTGGAACGGCACCTCAGATATCACTCAGGCAATGGGAGCAGTGTGCCGCTCCAAAACTTATGCAGGATTGAAACGTTCTTCACAGGACCTCTAGACACGAGTACGATTGTCGTCAGAGACTAAACAATTTGGATTCGTAGCTGTAGATTACCCGGTTCCATCCCGTTGCGGTCCAATCCCGTCAGGAGTGACACTTCTCCAATCGGTTGCGACGATGGGCATGATTTTCAATGTGTGCCACCGAAACTGATATAATAAGATTGTCGAGATATGAATATAAGAAATGTAAGAGTGCACTTTGTATGTTACATGCCAATTTTTCTCTGCTGTTCATGCTACAATTTTTTTCCGATGAAAATACCTACTCTAAATCGATTATACTGAAACTTTACTGAATTAACAGTTTTTGTGTTCTATGAAGAGTTTAAAACTACTTTCTTTCAGGGTTGCGTAATAAATTATGAAAAGTAGCAATTATGTAAATAAGATGTTTTTTTTGCCAATAAACCAAACGTGGTAAATTTAAAAAACCATTTTAAAATATTCTATACATTAAAATAAAAGATAAGTAATTGAAATATTCTGAAAACATTAATTCTAATGTGCTCACTGTGCCTTTTGACATTGCATATAGAATTAATCCCGACCGAAAGTTAAGCGTTTTTTGACGCTCTTGTCGGTTATAACGTCGGACATGCATTTCCTCCCCGGAACTTGCGGGTATTAAAACTGCTATAGAGAGAACGCTAGAAGCATGTCACTATATTTATGTTTTTGTGTAAAACCGAAACATAAACCTACAGCACAAGCTTAGTTTCATTTTCCTGTAAAATAGCTAGTAGCTTTAAAAGAAATGCTATTATGTTGTTTATATCCATATGTCTTTATTCTTTAATGTTTTATAACTGTTAACACATAAAGTGAACTTGTTTCTAAATGTAAAAAAATACTTAAAATTAATGATTATCTTATAAAAATAATAAACAAAACAATAAATGTATTACAATGATCGGGTAACAATTTAGTAATTATAATCATTATAGAACAACAATAAAACAATTGAGCAATTGTCGAAATTACCATTTTGAGTGCATATTCATAAACGCTGGACGGTGAATCATCCGGTGCTAGAAAAAATATCTAATAATTTTTTATCAGAGTAAAATTATACTTTGTGGATCAAATCGACAAAGAATATGCACGTTATTGAATTCAGAGGTTTGAGGAACTTGCCATATAGATGCGAGTATTGCGGTGAAGTGTTTACTACGAAAAAAGCTTTAGAAGATCATTTATGGGCACGGCATGGAAAAAAAAGTAACAACACCTATTCAGATGGATTCTTTAAATACAAAGAATGTGGAATAGTGTGCGAAGAACGCTTCACCATCGATCAACGCATTACTTTATCTGACCGCTCCTTTGAAGTGCGTATTTAAACTTAAATGTTATTTTTTTCAATACAGAAAAATTATTATATATCGTTACTTCTAATTATTATTGAATGTTGCCTATATTATTACCAACACTCCCGATTTAGCGGAATGTTGAAGAGTTAACGAAAGAGTGTTACGAATTTAACAGTAAATCTGAGGAAAGTTACGTTAAAATAACTATTTTATTAATATTACGCATTCTACAATGTTTTAATATGTCAAGGGATCGTATTTAATATAAATTGCACAATACCAAATGAAAAATATAGTTCATTACCAATCACGAAGACTTTCTTTAGTTAAAAACTACACAATAGCTATTAAGTTATAAGTTACGCAGTTATTAATCGTATAGGCCTATAAATTATTTACATAACTATGAACATTATAAAACGTACACGACAGAAACTTAAAGAATTCTTATTTCTAAATTTAACCAGAACAAACCTACTATCCAGAACAATCCCACGACCCTTTTGGACGCTTCTGTACTATTAATGGACGAAAAACTGACACCTACGTTGGTGTGACTAATACCACTAGAATTAGTAGATCCTGCCTCATTAACAGGCAGCACACGTGCATTCGTTTGAGCATTCTTCTGTATCTGACAGCAATGTTTTTCTGCCTGGATGCACACCAGTATAAGATCATCCAGTTGTTGCATTTCCTTATTACATCAATCTAATTTAATAGAATTTTCGTGTTTACTGTTATGATTGTGACTAAAATATTTATCGTTCATGTATAAAATCTGTTTTTACAGGAAACTTTTGAAGTATTTGCAAAATTACAGGCAGATGTCGAAAAATCCAAAGGTTTAAGATCAGAAAATAAAACTCAAGAAAAATGCTTCAAAGATTCAATCAAGAATAAAAACGAAATAAAAAGTGAGGGTCGACAAAATAAACAGAATAATGCTGTAGAAGAAATGCAAGAACTTGCAGAAAGTCTTCAGGAATTCTTTTCTTCAATTGCTGATAAAAACCCTGAGATCGGTAAATCTTCCGAGTAATTAGAAATATATAAATGCCGCTTCTGCAAGAAAAATTCACCAATCGAGAAACATTTGATAAGAAATTACTTTCTTTGCAGAAATATTCATATAAAATTTGGAAAAACATTTTGTAAATTCAAAATTATACATGATTCTCAGTGGCATTTAATCGAATAAAATCGTTTTTATTTTTATGCAAATCGTTTATATATATATAGTTTTCTACATACCAATAATACATAAGAGTATCAATTTTGAGTAGCAAACAAGTAAGGAATATTTTATAAAAAGACTCTAAAACTGAGAAAGAAAAGTACTACAGTAAATGAAATACTTCATATTAAACATTAATATAATTTTACTTCAAGTTCTGTTATTAGTTATTATTCACTAGATAATAGAGTTTCTCTAAATAAAATATAGACAAGAGCATCTTTTATTTAATTGTTATTTTATAGGCTTAAATTCAAACAGAATTTCACTCCCTGTATGTTTTTTTATGTAATAATAACTGTATACCTACTTTTACAACCCCTCCTGTATATTAATAAAATGACATATTAATTACACCAAATGCTCTCATTCAGAAAAATGTTACACAAGAAGAATTAGGTGTTAAAATGGAATGAACATTAATAGTGTGAATGAAAAGACCATGATAATAAGTAATTAGAATATCAGAGCAAACAAAGGATATTTTCTAAACAAGCAGTTCGTTATGAAGGAACTTTCAGTATCTTCTTAGATCCACGTTTAATATATAACGTGTAATATTAAATAAAGTGATGCTTCGATGCTTCGTACTTTGAATTTAATTCATTCCGGGAGACATTCGGAATTCCAATCAATTTTTTCACACGAAATAATAAAAAGTAAAGTAATCCCTTCCTGATTTTGAAGAATACCAATTTCGTATCAATAAAGCAGCAAATTCGCATAATTTAAGGTGTAATAACAGAAATAAATGCCCGAATACTAAATTTAATTATGAAAACCATAAAATAAAATATGTAAATACTGTATAACAAAATGAAAATTGCCTTTTATTGATGGCACACCTTGGAGTTCGCCATCTTAAGATAAATTTGTGATATACAATAATTTTAACAGTTGTGAAAATTAGCATATAAAAAGGTGTATTTTATTATATGTTGAGAAACTTTTTATCAATACTTTATACTTCGTTTAAATAGTATCAAGTCTTCGGATAAAAAGCATTGCGGGTATAATATGCTTTATGATCTAAGAATATAAACGCTGCACAAAAAGTTAAAAAAGAGAGATTTCCAATGTCTAAGGGGACGATGCTTCGAAACTTTAAACAAATCAAATATGGTTTAAAAAGTTCCGTTTGAAAAATTTTAAACTAATGGATACATAAAGTAAGGGATGTCGTAAAGCTGTCAATAAAGAAAGTTTGTAGGAAGAAATTGTTAAAAATCGACTAATAACACACAATATACGATAAATAACCAAACACACTAAAAATAATGCGATAAAATGTGCATTATAAATAAAACTATAAATTATATTTTATGTGAAATCTCCCACTATAATTTGTTAAATTAAAGCATTAATTAAATAAATTTGTTAAGTAAATAAATTTAGTAACGATTTCCGTACTTTCCCGCTTGTTATGAGTTTTTATTTATAAAAATAAATAATAACTTTTACCTGATTCAACAAAATAAATAAAATTGTTTGTGGCGTCATCTGTTCTGAAATTTTGATATTAAAACTTTCTATATTTTTAATTTTTATAAAATAGCAAAAAGTTTAATTTTCAGAGTAGGAATGAGTTATATATATATATATAAAAGAAAAACGTAATGAGTAATAACGATTAAATTCTTCATTAAATCGTACTTCTCCGTAGATACGACACATATCTTCCTACCCTCTTGATCTTTCACAACCGAAATGCTAGAGTTATAAATGAATCTAACAATGTGTAATTTTTTAATATTTATTTTGATAAATATCGAAACTTCAAACAGTTATTGAATTTAAAGTTTCTTAAATAAAAAAATTATTTACAATTAAGACAATTCTATTTACAAATTTAATAGTTGAAATGACTACTATTCAGATTTGCACATATACTGACTACAATGTGTTTTCTTTAATTTTTTATTCACGTTTAACGTCGAATTGTAGTGCATACGAGTGGCCACATTCTACCATTTGTTGTGAAATTTGGTAGCAGTAGCACTTAGATTTAAAGACAGTGTAAATGTCTGTAAATACAAGTGGCCTTGGCCTATTATAATCATTTAATTAATTAATTAAACAAAAGACTTTATACTCGAAAAACACCGCTTATGTTATAATAATCACTTTGTGAGGATAAACATCACCTCGTTGTTGTTCTGTAGACAGAAAGTGAAAGAACGAGTCCTCGGAGGGCAACGTAAACTGGAAAGGAAAGAGACGAAGCCAGATGAAAAAAACGAGTTCAGTCTATTAAGTCGTAATCGGGTGAGAATTTATTTGCGCGTGTCAAAGTCGACTTCGGGGGAAGGTAATCTCCGCGGAGATAAGGGTTATTTTCTGCAGAAAAAGAAAACCATTTTCCATCTAAATTTCTTACTCTAGACAGAGTTTTTTAGGATCCCTTTTGACTCTTGTCCATCGTATCCTACCTCGCGCTACTGCCTCTCCATCATCCATACCGCAACTTCTGGGTATCGTCGTACTAGATATTCGACCATAAACGAGGTGCTTTTGTTACGAGATATGACGACCGCCCGTTTCTAGTCAGGTGTAGGTAACTTCCGCTTTCTGCTCTCCTCAACATCTTTAGTAAGAACCCGAATCACTGGAATGAAAGTGAAAGAGCGCTTTCTGCTTATCATCTCCCGAAGTGCGCCTCTTACTTCATTTTGAAATTAACCATTGTGCAACGAAAAAGATGCGAAACATATTTTTATTGTCGTAATTTAATCTAAATTATAAGTAATAAATATATATAATTTCTTATAAAATTTATTTTAAAATGAAATAAAGATTTATGATAGAAGATTGTAGAAAATAATTGTTTTAATTAAAATAAAAATTTTAAAGTCAGAAATCTTTAATTATTAAATATAGTAATTTTAATCTTTTTAATAATTTTTAATGTCGGATGTATAATTTAAAAATTAGGTTCGTACAAATAATGTAATTCTTATGATTGCCATAACACAAAATATTTCTTAAAAAAGAGTCTATTTTAGTTGAAGTTTAGAGTACATCCGTGGGAATTTCATATTGGATATAATGTGTATATTGAATTGGGACCGCACGAAGCAAAGAATACGAAAATTCTCATCGATCAAAGTATAGAGTGAATATCATATTGGATATAATGTGTATATAAAACATAGCGGGAAATAATAATTTAATGTACTTATCAATTTCCATTTGGCTTCAACAATTCGACTGAATTTGAGCTAAACAAAAGTTAACAATAAAAAAAATGAAAAGTATTTCCTGAAATAAGTGGAAAGACCTCATTCTTTGTCTCTGTGACGAAATCGATTAATTGTCATCTAAACGGAGCTTTGTCGAAAAATCATTGCCACTAATTGTGATATTCGGCTAAACAATGTTCAAATATACCTAAATTTATAAACTTCTTAGTCTAAACTTACCAACAAAATGCCTGAAAATGATGCAAAACTCAGAAAAACGCTCACTTTTAATCGTACTCAGTGAATATTCGACATATCGCAACAAATTGTCAGAGTTTTATTGTTGTGTCACTACGAAATTTAATGTAAAACGTTTGGATTTTTCAGCAAATTTCGATTATTCCTCCTTTCTGTCGCTGAAAAGATGGATTACAGCGAAACATTCCTTGCATATACATTCATGTTAACATTAATACGTATTCAGAACTGTAATATGTCGTGTTTCCTGTCCAGATAGAAATGAATAAAATTTTCTATTTTACGATGATGCTTCGAACCGAAGAAAATAGACTTCAAGTCTAATAACCCCGTTTTTATAAATATCTACTTTGTTAAGTGATGGTCTATAATCTTTTAATCAAATTGATCATTTGTTAAATTAAAATATCCGAATTTTATATATTAAACTTAAACATGATAACAACTAGAGAGCTAGTTACCCTCTGAAATATACGAAAAATAATAAGATGTATTGAGTGAGCAAACATTTCTCTTGAGAACGATTTATTTTTCCATTTAAAACGTATTAGAAACTTCATTCTATATGTGTTAAACCATGTCTAGTTAGACAAAAGAGAAGAGGAAGTGTACGTATTTCAAGCAAGAAATTTTTGCGCAATACAACTAATTCCAGAAACAATATTTAAACAAAGTAAAGTACACTACAGATCGATATATTTTTATGTAATAGAAATAACATTTTTTTTTCCCTCCTTAAGGGTAGACAGATCATCAGACCAATGCTGATTTTATATAATAAATGACAACGTATGTTTTTAATTTTGAAAGCATTAAAGTACATATTGTGTTCTCAAGTTGTTAAAAAATAAGTTTGTTTACAGTCATATGTCTAAGTTTATCCTCTGATGTTTTACAACCTTTAATACTTCAAGCGTCATAGCTTTCCCTAAATGTAAAAAATACTAAAAATTACAGAATATATAGAAGATAAACAAAATACTCTAAATACAACGATCGCGTACAATTCAATACTTCTAATTTTTATAGAAAAACAATCAAATAATTGTGCAATTGTCGGGATCAACAATTCTGTTGCATATTTGTAAAAGATTCATTTGGACATTGGAAGAAGTATCTAATAATTTATATCGTATTTAACGTATACATTTTAGATCAAAGTGATAAAAAAATTATGCACTTTTTTAAGTTCAGAAGTTTTCCGGACAATGAATATAAATGTAGATATTGCGGAAGAGTGTTTGGTTCGTTAGTAGCGTTGAATAATCACATTAATGAAACACACAAGAAACGATATAACGATTCTCGTTCAGGTGGATCATTCAAAAGAGAAGAATGCTGAATAATATACGAAGAACTCTTTAACGTAGACAAATGCATTATTATGTCTAATTCATCATTGGACGTACGTGTTGAAATATTCATTTTACTCATTTTACAATATAGAAAGTTATAATGTTATTCCTAATTATTATATTGTGTTTCATTTCATTACTCCCATCCCTCTCGATTAAGCAAAGTACCTGAGGATTCACGAACCAC